CCTCCTGTACGACCCTGCTAGGGATTGAGCCTGCAACCAGGTCACATGCTCTGACTGGTAATGATGGAGCTGGTGAACTTTCAGTTCATGGGGCAATGCTCAACAAACTGAACCACTCCGGTTGGACCTGTCTGCTTTTCTCAACACCTTTTGTTTTCTATTTCTTTGCCTCTGGGTTCTAGTTTTTGTGTATGTTTGTGTGTTTATCTGGAAAAGGCTGGACATTTTAGTCATTTGTCACTGTTTACACCTTCCATTTGGAAAATGCAGTTACACATTAAATGTAATCATCAAATTTTTAGTTCTGCTTGGCTGGTTTTAATGTTCAGCACCCACAAGTTCTTTCTGCTTTTCCGCACCAGCAGGTTTTTTTTATTTATTTTTATTGTTGACACTATTACAGAAGTCCCCATTTTTTCTTCTTTGTCTCCTCCACACAGCCCCACTCCCCGTTCCCTCTGGCTATCACCACACTGTAGACTGTGTCCAGGTTTATGCATATATGTTCTTTTGCTAATCTCTTCACATTTCTTTCGTCGGTGGTAGCCATTCTGGCAGGTATGAGGTAGTATCTCATTGTGGTTTTAATTTGCATCTCTTTAATGATTAGTGACATTGAACATTTTTTCATATGTCTATTGGCCATCTGTATGTCCTCTGTGGAGACGTGTCTATTCAGGTTCTTTTCCTGGTGTTGAGTTGTGTAAATTCTTTATTTATTTTGGAGATTAACCTCTTATCAAATGTATCATTGGCGAGAATATGTTCTCCCATACAGTGGGTTCCCTTTTCTTTTTGTTGATGGTTTCATCTGCTGTGCAGAAGTTTTTTAGTTAGAGGTAGTCCCATTGTTTATTTTTTCCTTTGTTTCCCTTTCCCTGGGAGACATATTGGCAGAAATATTGCTCTGAAAGATGTCCGAGATTTTATTGCCTATATTTTCTTCTAGGATTTTTGTGGATTTTTTTTTAACTTATATTTAAATCTTTTACCCATTTTGAGTTTATTCTTATATATGGTGTAAGTTGGTGGTCTAGTCCAGTTTTTCCATATGCATGGTCTATCCTAGAAAATGTTCCAGTTGTTTTGTGTCCTACCATCAGTCTATCTGCAGGCTGATGCTCTATCCACTGAGCCAAACTGGCTGGGATGAGTTTGGACTACAGATTCAGGCTTACAACTATAGCTGTAAGCTGTCACTGTCTCTCCATCAGATGGAGGTGATAGCAAAAAAAAAAAAAAAAAAAAAAAAGTTTTCTGGAAAACAGGTGTCTGAGGAGGGAAAACTTAGGGCTACTATTTTTCATTATGAACCTTGTGAAAACTATATGCATATTGTTTCTGGGTTAAAAAAATTTTTTTAGTGTTAAATTCTATTAACTCTTAGGCCATTTCAAGTGATGTGTTTTTCACGTGTCCCCATTACACATCAGGAATGCAAAGATGAGTACAGTGGGGCCTGATAGAAGAAACAGACCCATGCACACCCCCTTCATTTGAACTTACACAGAAATTCTTCCAACTTCTTACACGACACTTACCGTATTCCAGTTGTATATTATTTGTTTACTCTTCATATCCTGCTGCTAGACTATTATGTTTTTGAAAGTAGGAACACTTTGCCTTAAAACCTTCAGTGCTTTTTAGCTCCTTACATGCAGTTGGTAGAATTGAATTGAGGGGTTTAAGCCAAGTTGTTTGTTATCTCACATTTTGGAGCCTTGGGGCAAGAAATATTCTTACTCAAATTTATAGAGGTGCCAGCTGCTAAGCATTATTTCCTATCTTTTTGTGAAAGTGTAATTTACCTAGTGTTCTGAAATCTGATTCCATGGATATTGGTAAAATACTATGTATTTAAGAGTTCATTCTGGATTACAGATAATGAGAATTTTTATTTCTTGAAATTTAGGAGCTAGTTTCTCATTTGAATAGCTATAGTAAAAGTTCATTTCTGTTTTTACTTATTTGTTTGTTTATATCCCCTAAGAACCCCTTTTCTTTAATTCTAAGAGGACTGTTATTCAGTGCATTGGATACTTTGTCATATTAGGGGATGATTACTGGTAATCATTTTAATATTTTAATCCTATGGTGCCCAAACAATCAGTAGATTGCTTTGGAGAGAGCATTTGGTCTACCCTCCTGGCTATTTCCTAAGGTAAGAGGATGTCCAAGCTGTTCTAGGCAGATGGTAGGGTAGGATTTCTTTTAAAACATAGCCCTACTCCCACACTCCCCCCATTTAAAGCGATAGATACTTCACCAACCTCACCGTGTTCTTTTAAGAGAGTTTACTTGGTAAACCCAGACTTCCTCTGTTTAATTCAGCCTTACTTTTCATGTTATTTTTCTACTTATAAAGATATTTCAAGATATTCTTTAGCCCTGTGGCTCTTTGTAAATTATCCTTAGGTTGATAAGGCCTGATTTTATATTTACAGAAATAGAATATATTTTATAGGTCAAAAAAGTAATGCAAATAATTCTCCAAATGCTGGTACTCAGTGTGATAGAAGTGAATAGTTTAAAAAGCGCTACTTATATTGCAAAACTTAAAAATAAAAAGTAACTCGTAATTCCATTTACAAATTAAATTTATTTATTAAAAAATAAATCTGATTATTAAATTTTAAAACATTTCTCAGATTTTTCTAAAAATCTAAATATTAAAGGACATTTAGTCTGGAGAAAACAAAACAAAACAAATGACTACATTTCCTGAGTAGTTAAGTTTTTGTGTTTAACTCTGGGTACCTCCCCTGTGCTGGAACTAAAGTTTGTGAGATTTTATTCTGCTTGGACTTTACCTCACATGTACGTATTTCAGGGGTCATCCAGAGATTTGGGTGGGGTTTAGACTCAGGGAAAGAGCAGCTTCCAAAAATCCTAATAGTACGAGAGTTCATTAACCTTTTTCTCTACTTTTGCGCATGTTTATACCATAGTACAAGTTACCATAGTAATTCTCATAGAGTTAAGATTCTCATAAAAATATGATATTGCAACAATAAAACAATAATAGTATACTATAAAGAGGAACACTCAGAGAACTCTTAGAAATTAAATATATGATAAAATTCAATAAAACTAAATAAAAAATTTAGACATTAAATATGAAATCTCCCAAGAAGACAAAAGACAGAGATGGGGAAAAAATTAATTCCAACCTTGAATCCTATATCTAGTTCAATTATCAACCAAGGTGTGTGGATGGAAAGAAGGCATTGCAGAAATGCAAGGTTTTAAAGAACCCTTTTCCAAGAAACTGCTGGAGAATGTCCTTCCTAAAAATGTGAAGGAAATCCGGGGAGAGGAAGACATGGGTGTCAGAAACGTTAACTCCATTTTGGGCGTCAAAGGACCACCACATCCACCAGAACGATAGTGAAGGGCCTTGGCAGCCCGTCCAGAACCTGGGTGAAACCCCTCAGGGAGCTGGCATTGAAAGGATGTCTGATGCAGGTGTGTGCCTTGGGATAACCTCTAGATCACAGGCCAATCTGGCACTGCCTTTTTTTAAAATAAAATTTTATTTGAACACAGCTGCACCCTTTTATCTACACATTGTCAAAGGCTGCTTCCGCACTGCAAGCAGAGTTGAGTGTAAATATAGGGTGTCCCCCCAAAATGTATGCACACACTTTGAATAATTATAAAGGCAGTATTTATTAAAATAATTTCATTTTCAAAATTGAGCTGTTAAAGTGTGAGTACATTTTTTTGAGACACCCTGTGTTTTTTTTATCTGACCCTTTAAGAAAAAGTGTGCAGACTTGATCTAGGGAATTGATTCTAGACAGTTGGCCAAGAGCTTGTGGCTGAATCAGTTAGGTGTACATACAGAACTGTAACTGCTCAACTCAGGGAGAACAAAAACTGATCAGGAAAGAAAAAATAGCCATGATTTACTATATGGCTTAACTTTGTATATATTTACATGATGATAAAAATGCCAATGTCTAATATTGTGCTAATTAAAATTACCATACTAACTGCATTAGGAAAATGAGAAGGATGTGCATGTGTAATGGGAGTAGGAAGGAGCTTAATCCTCATTTTCCATAGGGAGTCAGTAGAAAAGCCTCAAAACTAAAGAACTGAGGTGATACATATTAAGATAATTGACTACTAGTAAAAGAAATAAGAAATAAGATTCTTCTCAGAAGGGAGAAACTAAGGGCAGAGGGACAGGGTCTACTGTTTTTTCATACAAACATTCATTTTGTAGACTTTTTAACTGTGTATCTTAGTAGCTTTAATAAAGGGGAAAAAATTAAAACCTCCCCCCCCCTCCCAAATTTGGAAAACAAAGAAGAAAAGAAACCTTTCCCAAGGTCAGCAAATACATAGCACCTCCTCATCCTGTGGTGCTCGGTCCTTGCCTCCAGGGGACATTTATCAGAAATCATTCCTGTCTACTCGCTGTGGAGTCAGGACAGGGTTGCAGCATCTCCAGAATCATGCTCTAGCCAAGAGTGGGCTTTGCTCATGAAACCACTACCTCTGATATAATTAGCAAAATGGCACCAATTTAGGGGTATCCTGTCAAGTTCAGACATTCCCAGTAAAAGAACGTGGCAAAGCTGCATTATTTGGCCTAGCATTCGACTACTCTGGTGTCCGAAAGGAGTTGCCTTTTAAAATTTCATCTTTTCTAAACACCGTACCCACTTAACACACAAGCATGGGAGGACAGTTATTTCTCAGTAATTATTTGTAGACATAGGATAATCTAATAATATGTTTCTACTATTGAGCACTAGGGCTAACATATAATAGGCTAGTGGATGTTTGAATGAATGAATAAATGAACTCGGTTATATAATCAACGTTAAAAAAAAAAATCATGATAACTTGAGAAGCTGAAAAAACCAACCCTTGCAAAAAGAGAATTCCATAACTTTCTTCAGCTTTTCAGTCACCAAAGCTAAATTGCAGTTCTGAATGAATTTGACTTCTACATTAAAGTAGTTTTTGCTCTTTTTTTTCTTAACTAGGATCTTTCCAATTAAGGATGTACCCCTGGAGACTGAAGAACTTTCTGATTGGCTCTATCAGCGATTTATTGAAAAAGAGGACCTCTTAACACATTTTTATGAAACAGGTACACAGTATCCTATTACATACCTTCCTGAAGTTACTGATAGTTCAAGAGAAGCATTTTTTTTTTCTAATTCTTCAGATATCCTAAAGGAATCAGAGTATTCTCTACTTAAGGATTTCATCTTAGAATTTTCATAAAGACAAGCTTACATGAAATGTGTCCAGGCACTTGTTCATTAGCCATGTACAAATGGATCTAGTTCAAGAGAGGACACAGTCTGTAGAAGACTTGTGATCATACATTTGCAGCCAGCTATATGGCCTGTTTTATAAAATAGCAAATGACCTTCATTTTTGGCATTGTAATTTGATTGTTTAAATGATACCATCATCATTTGTAAATATTTTTTAATATGCTTTATTTTTTTTTAACATATAGGGATAAAGTTCACTATTTGGTTTTCATGGATACAACCTTATACTTCTCTCCTTGGGAGAAAAAAGTCTATATTTACCCCAAGTTTCTTTTCTATATTTAATATTTCTTATGTTCTGTGAGACCTATAGTGCAGTGAAAAAGATGTAACGGGGAGGAGGAGAGAGGAAGGAAGAAAGGAAGTTTTGAAAGGAGGAAATTGACGTTGTTGGAACTCCAGGCACTATGGAAGTGCTTTCACAAATAGCTGTTTGTAGGCCTATGTTCTCGAGCAGGGGTAGGTAGAGACCCTTTTTTCTGCCAAGGGCCATTTGGATATTTATAACATCATTCAGAGCCCATACAAAATTATCGACTTAAAAATTAGGCTGCTATATTTGGTCAAACATTTAATTACCTCACCCAAGGGCCAAGCGAGATGATTTCCCAAGCCCCTCTATATGGTAGTCTCTAGCACAGGTGGGATATTCCCACCTCTGTTCTAGAGGCTACCTCCTTTTTTTTTTTTGCAAGTAAAAAAATTTTTTTTTAAAAGTATATGTGTAGGCTATATTTGGACCATAAGACGCAGGGACTTTTTCCCCCCACTTCTGGGGGGAAAAAAGTGCGTCTTATGGTCCGAAAAATACGGTATGTTCAGTCTCTTCCCACATCCCCCTCTCCCCTTTTCCCCAAGAATAAACAGTTCACTCCCCTTCCATACCTCTGATTCTATTATATTCAACAGTTAATATTGTTTCTCAGATTTTTTTTTTTTTTTAGTTTCCTTGGTTTTTAGATTCACTTGTTGATAGTTACGTATTTGTTGTTCATAATTTTTATCTTTATTTACTTTCTCTTCTGAAAGAACCCCCTTCAGCAATTCATACAATTCTGGTTTGGTGGTGATGAACTGCTTTAGCTTTTTTTTGTTAGTGAAGCTCTTTATCTGACCTTCGAATCCGAGTGATAGCTTTGCTGGATAGATTATCTTTGGCTGTAGGTTCTTGCTATTCATCACCTTGAATATTTCTTGCCATTCCCGTCTGGCCTGCATGGTTTCTGTTGAGAAATCAGCTGACAATCGTATAGGTGCTCCTTTATAGGTAACTAGCTTCTTTGCTCTTGCTTCTTTTAATATTCTCTCTTTGTCTTTTGCTCTTGGAATCTTAATTATGATTTGTCTTGGTGTGGTCCTCTTTGGATTCCTTTTATTTGGAGTTCTGTGTGCTTCCTGGACTTGTAAGTCTAATTCTTTCACCAGGTGGGGGAAGTTTTCTGTCACTATTTCTTTCAGTATGTTTTTGATATCTTGCTCTCTCTCATCTTCTGGGACCCCCACAATTCTGATGTTGGATCGTTTGAAGTTGTCCCAGAGGTTTCTTACATCATCTTCAATTTTCTGGATTCTCTTGCCTTCTAGCTTCTGCAGAGGAGTGTCTTCTGGCTCTTTATGTTCCAAATCTTTGACTTGATTCTTGCGATCTTCCATTCTGTTTTTAGGACTCTGTATAATATTTTTTATTTCAGACAATGTATTCTTTATTTCTTGTTGATCCCTTTTCATATGCTCATAGGTCTCATTTACTTTATCGGCCTTTTCTAGGAAACTCTTGAAAAACATTATAAGTGTGGTTTTGAACTCTATATCCAGTCGCTTTTTGTCCTCCATTTCTTTCGTTTGTGATCTATTTGGTTTAGGCATTTTCGCAGGCAGCTTTCCTGATGGGGCAGGGTTTCAGGGTGGAGCCTACAGCCTTGGCCTCCGTCAGCCCCGCCCTATGCGACTCCTGAGACTCAGGGTCCTTCAGTACTTGTTGCAAGCGCCTCTAAGAGAAAGGTGCCCTCGATTTTCGCCTGCTGCCAAACTGTCTATGCTCTCCCCCAATGAGTCCGGTATTGGGGTTCAGTTCAGTTGGTAGTGGGATTGGAGGTGGCGTTCAGAGCAGTCTGGAGCCCCTGTCTCCTTCCCGTCAGGGCAATCCCGCGGCACAGCCGGCCGGCCCTTCTCTGTGCGCAGTGTGCGCGCCTCCGGGACCTCCTTTCGCCGCTTCCCCGGAGTCCCGCCTTACAGCCCGGCTCCCTATGGATGAGCCTGGGTCCCCGGGGTCTGGCCTAGAATTGGGGTTCAGAGCAGTTGGAGCTGGGCCCAGCACAGTCGGAGCTTTTCTCTCCTTCCCGCTTGGGACCGCCAGCCAGGCACTCGGCCTCCCTCCTCTCTGGCTCTGTCCTCTCCACGCGTGCCGCGTGTCTCCGTACCTTGGGCTTTTACAGCTCCTCCGTGCTTCCTTCTGGTTTTCTTCTTGCTTCTTGTTGTAGAATTTCCAGTCAGTCAACTTTCCTGTAGTTCTGGGTAATGTCCATTTTATATTTTAGTTGTATTTTATTGAAATTGTTGTGTGCGGCTGCGGCTAGTTGCCTACCCGAGCAGCCATCTTGGATTTTCCTCGTTTGTCGAGGCTACCTCTTGAGGGAAGGAAAAGTGAAAGTTGTTCCAGGTTTGAGGATGGCCATGGGGTTTTCCATGAACAGAAGGCACTATTTTTCCCCCCATTTAGATATTTTTTGGTACAGAATTAAAGTTCATGCTGAATCAGACTGTAAAGGCCTGATGTTGAACAAAGGCTGATTGATACAGTGATTACCTTTAGTGCTTTAGATTTGGGGTTTAGGACTGCTGCACTTTGCCCTCCAGAGGATTCCTTCCTGATCTTAACTTTCTGATCCTGGGGCTGTGGAGTAGTGCCTATTAGTGTGACAGGAGTTGGGCACTGTGTATGTCTTTAAAATTCCTAGTTAGATGCCCCTCTCCATGTGTGCAATCCTTGGTCTCACTCTCAAACTTTTCTTAAAGATGAGACAGGATGGATGTATAATAAGGATGAGGCAATTAAGAGGCTAATAAGCTCTCTTTCTTTCTTTTTTTCAATCTGTCTCTTGCTTTATGATATTTGCCCTAAATTGTACAACAATAATGGAAGCCTCTTTTGAATAAAGTTATTTGCATAATAGACCTTAAAACTTGAAAGTGTTCTCTGTACATTGCTTGTGAGAAGCAAATCCCTTCATGAATCAGCTTAGCCAGGGGATTATCCACAAGGGCAAAGACTATTTGAAATGCTGAAGAGTGTTACCAAGATGACCTTAGATAATATTGCCCCGAAATGGTCTAGCTTTCCTTCCCAGAAATCTGTTTACTTTGTGTATTAATTATATGATAATTAATAGAATTAATTAATGCAAAACAAATGATCCTTTTTATTATTAGGATATATTTCATAAACCATATTGCCTTTTAAAAAGAACAGTGATTTATAATCACTTTTTTTTCCCCCCCCTATTGGATACTTGAAAGAACAACCACTTTTTTGTGGCAGAGACATTTAACTTGTAAATAGAAGAATGAATGTAGGTTCATGCTATTTGGGAAAGTGTTCTTTATCGACTTCACACATCTTGTGTCCTGGCCACTGCGGAGATCTCTAGAGACATGGTGGGAAAAAGGCCACAGAGTGCTGCTCTCTCGCAGCTGATACTGCCACAGGAGACAGTCTGTAGGAAAAAGAAGATATAGGCGGGGATATTATAGATTGTGCAAAGTGCCAAGACGGAAATAAATATGGAGGTGACAATGCCTGAAGGGGAGAACGGGTAGGCGCGGTGGACAGGGAGAGGCGGTATTTTTTTCTGATACTGGAACAACGCAGATGCCCCAGGCAGAGAGAATAGAGGCAGAGGCAGAGGCTCAGGCAGGTTGAAAATTATATTTCATATGAGATTTCTCAAGAGCAATGGGGAGTCACAGAAGATGCATTAAAAAAAAATTCTAGTTAAAACTAATATTCAACTTTTACTCCAGGAGACCCTCTGCAGCAGTAAAACAAAGTAATGTTTCCATCTTGTTTTTCAGGGGCTTTCCCGCCTTCCCAAGGCCACAGGGAAGCTGTTTCCAGGGAGATGACCCTCAGCAACAAGTGGATCTTCCTCATCCAGTCTTTTGCATTTTTGTCAGGCTACATGTGGTACAACATCTTTCAGTATTTTTACCATTGCCTGTTTTAGGAACTGACACAGACTTGTCAAGGTCACCATAGGAATTCCAACTTTTCATGAGTGCATTATTTCATATGTGCAAATCAGGATATAAAACAAGCAAAGGAAATTCCATGGATGGATTAATATTTATCCCCTTTGGGATATTTTAAAACTCTGCTAAAATGAGGATCAGTAATCTAATGACCTGCTAATATGTTTTAAGGACTTTTCATGTTTTAAAAAGATACACTCTGCAACACATGTAAAAGAACATCACATTTGGAGAAGAGGAAATCATAAAATCATCCTAGAAGACAGAGAAATTCTGTTGCCAGCAGATACTTGATCACCTAGTTCAAGCTCAGAGAGCTGAGCTCGCCCTCCCAGCTAATAGTCCCCTTAGGGCAGTGCTGTGAGCGCTCTCACTGCCCGCTCCCGCTGTGTCACTAGGAACCTCCAGGGGGGCTGGTTGGCACCTTCTGAAGAACTGGCGCCCTGTCCTTTGCAGTGACGCTCCAGGCCTCACCAGCTTAGTGGGGTCCGGAGTCAGGCGTGCTGTGGCGGGGAGCAGCGTCCACTGGACACGTTCAGTCCTGGAATGGGCTCTTTCGAAAGGCAGGCTCAGCCCAACACCGTGTTTACATGCGCTAGTGCTTTCCGTGTGTGTGTGTGTGTGTGTACATGCGTGTGCGTATGTGTTGCAGGGGAGGGCACTTGATTTCTCCTTTTATATAGAAGGCATATCGTAGAGTGATCATTTTCTCTTACAAAATGCACTTTCATCAGCTGCATCTGTAGCAGAGGGTTGGTAGTATAGCCTGGAAACCAGTCTGCACAGAATCAGTGAGGGGGACTCGAGCTGTCCTGTCTGCGTGTTTTAACCTGCGCTCCTGCTCCCCAGCGCCCCCCTGAGCTGGGCTCCACACCTGGGGGTGGGAGGCCCTTCAGCTGTTCTCTTGTTTGTTTTCATTTTGGTATATTAGCACCAATTGCGTTTGGGTATGGTTTAAACAAATTAATGCAAAAACACTTAAATGATCAGTATACGGTGAGATAGGCTAATTTATTAGAAAAATAAAAGCTAGAGCCAGACACTGGCTTAAAATGGTGACAGGCCATCACATGGCACCCAGCACCTGTCAGGGCGGTGTGACCAGGAGAGACCAGCATGCGAGGCTTCCCAGGCTCTGCCCGTTGCTTTTGAAGAGGATACAGTCGTGTCTGTTTCTAGAAGACTTTTTTTTTCTTCTTTTGTCACTGTGTTCATGCAGTTTACCTCACAGTAAAACCAAACGTCTCACAAAGTGCTGGCCCTGCGCCGGTCACTGCGGTCACCGCCTGCACCCAGCATCGTGGCGGCAACGCCCTGTGGCCTGGGGTTGTGAGATAGATTCTGGTGAGTCAGCGGTGGTTTTCTGTGACATGACATCGTAGATCCCCCTGTTGTCGCTAATCATGCAATCTTGACGGTTCTGAGAAGGAGGCCGGAAGGTAACAGCGAAGGTTGATGTTTTTTGCTTTTCAATAAACCAAAACCAAACATCCACAAAACCAAAACACTGAGAAGATAAGGATTTTCTCCCATTTGTGTGGGAAAGATAAAGCAGCACCAAATACAAGCCCACAGCGGCTTCATGTGAGAAGAGAACGATGCCTGAGCTGAAATACCTCATTGATCATACTACTGCCGGGGAGACGCAGAAGGCAGGGTTTCCGTGCGCGGTTTGGGAATGGTTGTCATACGGTGCCACTTTTTCAACATGTTAGCATTTCATTATGTGCTTTACAGGGACGGTGAGTAGGTGGAACCAATCTCAATTTAGAGGTACAGACACAGACAGGAAGCCAAATGGAAGCTTAGGGACACTTCTGTTTGAGGCCCAGCAAATGCTATCAGATGACAAGGTGAATTGGAACTACTCATTCGAGCGGTTGGGCAGCCATCTGGGGGACAAGTTGTTCATTGTCAAGGATGGCAGGCAGTCCCAGCTGGTAGACCTTTTCCTGGTTGCTAAAGCAAGCCCCAGGCAGAGTGGCCAGTCTCCCTTGAGGGAAGAGAGAAATGCATGCGTGCACACACAGATGTGGTTTCTTTCGCCATCACTGAGACCAAAGGAGGAAGCTGCTGTTTAATGTACTGTACACATTAAACAGGCTGTTCTCTAAGATGCTTTACTTTCCAAGCACAGTCATTTCAACAGCCTCTAGATGTGTGGGTTAATTTTGAACATAGATCTGTGAGCTGTAAATAGCTGTGTGTTTGATATGCCCCATCCCTCACCCCTTGTTTCTTTCTCAACACGTGCCCTCTCTTCTGTTAGCAAACACGCTGTGTGAGAGCATTGCTAGTGCTTTCCTTATCAGTAATGGGGGTTCTCTTGTTTGTACGGGGGAATGTAAAGAGCGAATCGGTGTTCTTCTATGGCAATCAGGGAAGCAGCAATATGCCACTGTACAGAACCGAGTAAAAATCCCTAATCTGTACTTCCTTTGTACAGCGAGTGAAAGGAGGTTTAGCAAATAGCCACTTTGTCCAGGGGAAAGAAGTAACACTGGCCAGTTTTATACCCGGAGCTCACGGAATCTCAGCGCTGCTCGGTCTCAGCTGACCCGCCTGGATTCCCAAAGCAGACAGGGCTGCAAACTCACTGCCGAATCCCAGAGTCACAGTGATGGGCCACCTGCTTGGCCTCAGGGAGGGGCAGCGACCACAGAAGTGACCACCCCAGAAGTTCACGTGTGACTTCAGAAACCACTGCTGGTCTTTAAATACGCAGTTATTGTAGAGAAGCCTGTAGGCCAGTGGGAGGTAAGGAAAAATTGCAGAATGGAAATGAAGTCTTGGGTAGTCACACAAGTTAATTGAGGTTCTAAATAGTAGATTAAAAAAAAATAGCTGTGAAATCCGTCATATTTTAATATTACACACAGTCCTTAATTTTTCATAGTAAATGAACTGGAGATTATGCATAATTATTCCAGTAATAAGTCATGGTAAGCCAAAAATCTGATTGCATTTAGGAGTTTGAATTTTCATTCTCATAAAACTTTTTTTTTCCCCCTTCCTGGATGCTAATTTTAAAAAATGATACGAGTTGTTTATTAGCTTCCCTTGCCTATATATTTGACTGTGTTGATGTGTAGTGGAAAGATTTGGAAAGACAGCCTTAGGAAGAGGAAACATAGAAGCCTGAATAACCCATGGTCTAGAAAAGGAATTCCTAATAATCAAGAGTTGGCAGTATTGTGGTTGTTCTTAAGTGTTTTTATGAAAATTAAATGTTAAATCGCCAAATGCAAACCTCAGACCGTCATTCTAGTGTTCGTATCATTTGGATCAATGTTAAGAATGCCTCTTCAGTCTTTGCTCATGATACTCACTTTGTGTGGATTTGTCTTAGTGACATTTTGACAATCACTTCCCTGAAGACTCTTCTGACCTAGTGGGACCTTGTTATAATCATAGGATGTAGTCTGTAATCATGGATAGTCCGATTGGATTCTTTTTGTATTCAAATTGTGTTTGCACTGCTGCATAGGAAGAGGTAGTTATTTTCTTCACTACACAGAACTTCACTCCAGCGTTACCATGACGAGCGTGCCAGCGCTGGCCCACAGAATGGATACGAATGGTCTTATTTTTTGCCAGGTAGTGCTGTGAACCTTGCTTCTGGTAACATGAAAGGCAAAGTCAAAAGCCGCACTGGGCAGCAGGTGTACTGGTTCATTGTCTGAAGGGTCGAGACTAATCTATTGGGACCAAAACCACCTACATTGGGCATTTCTAGATCACGAGGGGGGCGGGTGTTCTCTGGATGATGCTTTATTGCAACCAATTTGCATTGATCCCCAACAAGGAGGAGCTAGACCTGGGAATGAGCTGAGGGTGCTGAGCTGTTGGGGGAGGCTAACTTTGGCCGTCTGGAAGGTAAAATACATGTTTTTCTGTAAATTTTCCATTTGAGGGTTTTTACATTTAATATTTTTTAAACAGTTTAAAGAGCAAAAAAATAGTGTATTCTAGTTGCAAAATATGCACACATGTTTTGAATGGCTTTATTTTTGTTGTGTGAAACTGTTGAACACATGGCTGCGGTGCACAAATTCTTTACACTAAGGAGTCTAGATGCATTTCACAGTAACTTTTGATCGGTAATGAAACAGTGAGACATCGAGCTGCCGTTGTTAAGTGCTTTCATTTTCTGTCAGTTCTCACAAAGTTGTATTTATTTTATACAGATGGATTTTTGTTTTCTTGATGCCATAATGTTTACTTCAGCTTGGTGACCTGTCTTTCTTTGTGTATCTGCATGTTGTAATGTATGATAAGAATGAATGTAAAGGCTGTGGCAACTGTAATTTTTGTAAAGGGCTGGTCACACGTGGATCTGGTTTATGAATGCATTGGGATTACTTTAGCAACCAGATTACCTTTTCAGAAATTGAGATGTGAACACCAAAAGAAGCATTTTCTCAACAAAAATTAATAGCTGGTTCTATTTTTTTTAACCTAGAAAAAAATAAAGTTGATTTTTTTTTCAAGTGAAGTGCTTTTAATTCTTAGTAGGGGTATGGGGTGTTTGTGTTTTCCTGGCGCTGTTTTGGCATTAACATCTATAGACGTGTACTCAGAACACACCACGGCAGTTGGGTCCTGAGGGCAAACTGAAAAACACTGTTCTCTCGTTTTAAACTATGTCCCTCTCCCCTTTCCGATTCTCCCCATCCAGTGGTATACTGGTCAATGGTTAGCAGTCACTCTCCTGGGGGGGGGAAAAATGTATACACGTTTACATAAGTTATAAATTTTGCTGATAGCAAGAATTTTATAACATGATTAATAGATAATAATAAAATATACTTTACTGTAAATTCCATATAGCCAATTGATTCTCCCAGGATGCTCTAGTTGATTTTTCCTGATCTCTTTGACCAACCTATGACTGTGATCCAACCATGATTTGAAAAATGGAATTACATCCTAATCCATTTCTCAAATTTGTCATTCAATCTGATAGGTGATCTGTTAGACTGTTTCTTAGCCTTGTACAAGCTATACTCATTAAAGTGAACCACTTCTCGCTTCAGCACCAATGGGAAACTTATGTGATTTTATTTTAATAGCAGTCATTTAACAACTACTGGCAAAATTCTAAAACAGTTGGCTCTCTTGAGCAAGTGGGAGGTGTCTCCAGCACACCACTGCCCAAAAAAACATTCTGGTTTATGTGTTTTTGTTCAAAAAACCGTTAGTGTTGAATGAAGGTCTCACAGTTAATCTACTCACTGCTCTCAGGAAATTCCTCTCTGACCCTGGCAGGGGCTTCTAAGCGTAGGAAAGCATTAACATCAGTCCTTCAGAGCGGGCTTTGGATGTTTGGAGAATTTGCCAAAAGCCAACTTTTCCTGAAGTGCATGGAAAGCTTGCATATTTCTAAAGTTATATGCTTTTATTTCTCAAAGTAAACTGATAATAGACATCTCCTAAGATTTTGTTTTAAGCATTTAAAACATTTTTTTTTTGGTTTGATATTTGTAGAGTATGTTTGAGCCCATGGACATTTTTAAATGTATTAAAATATCTTACATAATCTGTAAAATAGGTTAAATAGTCACAGTTCTGTCTACCTCTTCTGTTTCCTGTCTGGGTTTAGGCTGCTGATTTGGTGAGGCTGTAATTCCCTCCTCTCCCATGCCCCCAAAATGTGGGTTCTGTGGAAGAGGAAGAATTAATGGGGCAGAGGCCTGAAAACCAATTCGAAGCACTCGGAGATCTAATTGCTGACCAGCCCTATTCCTCATGAGTTGGGGGGGAAAAAACAAAACAAAAAGCCATTGTTTTTAATTTCCACTTAATATGAAAATGTTTGTTTTAAAAATGTTTCTGCTGGGGGGGAAAATGTGTTTTTAAAAGGAAAAAAAATTCCTCTTTTGGCTATAAGAAAAAGTCAGCTGTAATGAGCAGATGTGACCATATCATAACATGCTGATATGATATACATCAATAAATTTTTACCTCTTAGGACTTGGACAACCTTGTTCTTAACTCTTAGAGGCTTGAGAAACTTAAGTATCTATAATCCAGATAACAAGTTGAACTTGGGAGTAGGGTGGCTAAACCGCTGGCAATGAGATGGGCTTCTTTCAAAATCAGAAAACACTGTATTAGCTAAAGCAGTGGTCGGCAAACTCATTAGTCAACAGAGCCAAATATTAACAGTACCACAATTGAAATTTCTTTTGAGAGCCAAAGTTTTTAAACAACTTCTAATGCCACTTCAAAATAGACTCGCCCAGGCCGTGGTATTTTGTGGGAGAGCCACACTCAAGGGGCCAAAGAGCCGCATGTGGCTCGCGAGCCGTGGTTTGCCGAACACTGACCCCAATGCCTTCCAGGTCCACCCATGCTGTCACAAAGGGTAAGATTTCTTTCTTTCTTTCTTTTTTTAATGCTGAGTAGCATTCCATTGTGTAAATGTACCTCAGCTTTTTCAAAGAGTTCACTATTAAATGAAATTGCACATATGAAGCACAT